TTTCTTTCTTTCTTTCTTTCTTTCTTTCTTTCTTTCTTTCTTTCTTTTTTCAAGGACTTGCAATAAGCTCCCTTTTATCTGCTGGTGCTATAATGGTGAATGAGGAAAGCTAATATTATAAGCTGTTCCTCTGCAGCTGACTCTAGCACATTTTGACTACCAGTTCCATCATTCATGGAGAGTATGGTTTGATGTGCTTGCTTGGGGAACTATAGAACATTTCATATTTAGAAGCCTTTAATAAAGGATGACTGATTAAATGTCACTTCAAATGTCTAGTTTTAATTCTACTAATATCAGTCTAAACAGATACACGCTCAGAATCCTACTGTATCTTATCTTTCCTTCAATTCCTCCACCTACTGATGAAAATTGGCTTAATGATCATTATAATTCAATACATCTGGTTGGTTCCAGTTTGAAAATGGCTGTTTCACAGGATCCCAAACACTCTTGGTGTGTGAATTTTGATTTGTAGCAATCAGAAGTGCTTTGAAAATATGTTAGAATGGATTTAATTTTAATTCATTCTTGGCTTTGGTTAGATAATTACCAGGCTATTAGTTCCTTGAGTAGGGATAAAGCATAGTTACCTAGTACTTGACATCTGATGCCCATACTTTTTGAGACCAGGCTGTACTAAAAATTGTCCCTCATTGCTTAAAATACTCCAACGAAAAGCTGTTTTTCAGAGAGCTTATGCCACCTGCTGCAGCTTTTATTTTAACACATTGGAACAATTTGCTGGGGGCAGCAAATGGAACATTAAGTACCATCCATACATGATGTATTGGTTTAAAAGCCCCCATTAATGTGTCAAAAGTTCAGGAAATGATTTTACACATATGGCTGACATACTGTATCTAGAAACCTTCTGCTTATTTAGTGTCTTGGAAGCCCCAACATCTATGTGCTTATGTTAGTTTTCTACATCTATGTAAATAAGAAACCCTGGTCTTTAGATGTTGAATAGAGAATTGGAAATACCTTGGTTAGCTTACATTTACTAGGTGAGTTCTCAACTAAAATAAAGCAATTGCTCATTAGCAAATATATCCTCTGAATGCACTGACACTCTTTTTTTTTTTTGAGCAAGCGTTCTTCTGAGCAAACTATCCTTCCATGAAATCAATCTTAAATCAAGTAAACTTATATAGATTATATGATATGTCTCAAATATAGATTCACATAATGGTAAAATGTTTTGAATTCCTCTATCCCTTCCGCCCATCTATTGAAATATGTTACGTAATGAGTTTTGAATTCTAGCATGCCTGATTATCTAGATGACCAGACACTCCAGCCCAGATTTATTGAGACTACGGGTTTTAAAATTCCTAGTCGTGGAGGTTGGGAAGATTGGCCTATACTAGAAACAGCTGGTCATCAGAATCACATCTATCATTGATGATAGGTCCCTTACATAAGTATGGAGAGATCTATTTGTTCAGCTGCTGTCAACCTTTTTTACCTCAAGATTGTCACATTCTATCAACATTGACTCCATATTTAAGGTCCCTAAGACATATCTACCATTTGCTGATAAAAATCCCCAACTGTTCTTATTTTTTGTTGGTAGCTGGCTTTTGTTTATTACCACATATGTTCCATTTGGTAGATTTAGTTCTTTATAAAAAAAATTACCTTGTTTTCTGTAATGACCATCCATAGTCCTGAAAACATAGCCTTTCTTTTTTTTAAAAAAAAAAAAAGCAACTTATGCCTTGCATATGTAAAAATTCATTCTTGCAATTATTTACAAACAGTGCTCTGAATCCCATAGAGGTTTTCAAAACTGGTTCAGTATCGTTTGTGCTGTTTCTGTGCATTATGTTAATCAGTGATGTTCAATATAGGGAGTAATACTTTTATCATTATCCATAATGGAGAAGTTTGCATGCTTGCATAAGGAAACTGAGAACAATCTAAAAACTTGCTCTGGACCCCGATTTTCCCTGGGCAAAGTTGCTGTGGTTTGACAATGCTCCAGCTTTGTGATTGCAAAGATTGTCTGTGCATAGTGGAAGCAGTATCAGAGTCACTCCAGATTTTGCCTGAAGTATGTTAATGGAGTCATGTCCCACATTTTGAGATTCCCTCATGTATTTCATTAGGGACCTTAGCAGAAAACTGGTGGAGGAATTGCTGTGCATATTGAATAAAGAACTATGTGATTAGTTTTTTATTCAATATACACAACAATTCCTGTGCATATTGAATAAAATCACATAGTTCTTTATTCAAGGAGTAACTATGAATGAATAGTAAAAGGAAAAAGGAGAAAAACAAATCTTCAGCAGAGATTTGTTTCTTGTTTTAACCTTTTTTATATATTACTAGGTGAAAATGAATACATATGAATCAATTCCTCATTTGATAATCCTTAAACATTGGAATGTTTGAAAAACAAGCTACCCTTGAAAAACAAAATTGGATGAATCTCCTCTCTGTGAGAAAGTTATTTGAGTAACAGAACATTCTTATCTAAAACATAAAGAATTATCCCAATGTATCAGAACTTTTGTAATAGAGCATGTTGTAGATCACATCTGTTGTTGAACATAATGTTGCCGGTGAGTTCGGGTTTTATAGCTTCCAGTAATAGCAGATAATTGTGATAAATGATTCATATCAACTACAAGCGACACTTTTTAAAATTTCCATATCTGGCAACCATAAAGCATTTATGAATGCTTCAATAGACCTCCGTGACCGAAAACAGCTTTATGGTTAATTTCATCTCAGTGTGGTAATTAGCAGGGTTTGAAGCAATTCCTGGAAACAGGCTGATAGAGGCGAAAGATTAACACACAAACTTTTTTTTTCAGAGCTACATATACCCAATAATGCATGAGTTTCTTCTGTAAACTGCTAGGTTTTTTTTATTACCTCAGATGAAAGAAAAGGTTCTTACAAAAATGGCACATGAGTCCTAAAGAGCAGAAATCAGTGTAGGTGGTCCCAAAGAGATAATCTTCATATAAGTAAAAGGAAACAGTTTTACTGGGAAAATACATATCTAAATGGAAGCTGACTTTGAAAACTGCTAAGAAGGCATTTTGTCTGAAATAGCTCTCAGTGCTTTTTATTCTAGTTACCCCAGAAGGGCAAATATTTCAAAGTAAAGTTTTTATTGAGAGTCAGGTCATCAGGAGACTCTGAGTTCTAGGCATGAAAGCTGGCTAGGTGACTTTAGGCCAGTACATCTACCTCAGCACAACCCACCTCACAGGACAACATGAGCACAATATGAGGAAGAAAGAGTATTAGGTATATTTGATGCCTTGAGTTATGTATAAAAATAATAAAGACAGGATAAATAAATGAATAAATTATTTCATATCCCAGGGTTGCATTCCAGCATTCAAATTAGATGCTAACATTGGAACACCCATCGTTTAGAAAGCTTAAGATGCAGCTCCCTGGAGAAATACATTTTTATCTTTTGTGATGATGAAATAAATGGTTGGCTTGTGGTACATATGTGAGAGCCTTTGGCAGTGCTATCGGCTAATAAGTAACAGTACACTTATTATAATATATTCTTGCAGACACAAAAGAAGCCGTTTCCATGAAAGACCTAAAAAGTGAGTCTTATTTTTATAATTATGCTCTTACCATTGTTTGTTTTATTTCACTGTTATTAGTGTTTGCTTTGATACATCCAATTATGCATATTGAAGTATATCATTTTATACATTCTTTTTTCTTTTTGGTAAAAGGTGTCTTGTACTCAACAGGATTTACATCTGGATAGAACTGCAGAGAATTGTGCTGTAAAATTGTATGAAAATGCAAATATGGAAAGAGTGACACCATTTATAATTTTAAAATGACATGTTTAGACGTAGCAGTTTCTTCTATTCTGAATCAATTCACACTGCATTTTCAGTTCCCCATTCCCATTTGTGACTGACAGTTATTTCTTCCCTTCTCCATTTTCTTTAAAAAAAAATTACATCTTGAAAAAGCAGATAGGGATTGAAATGTCAACTGTGATCTGAGCTGAGTATTTCATAGTGGCCATGAGCTGGATAGAAGAGTTCATTTATCTGGTTCCTATATAATAAGGTCTGAAGACTCTTAGTCCTTGAATAATGAAAACAAGTCCCTGGCATGAAAAATACAACTCATCAAGCCTGGCAGCATTTGTGTTTCTGTTTCTGGGGAAGTGATGCAGGAAACAAAGAATCCTGCATTATTTAACCAAGTAAAATATGGCCTAAAATTGCCCCATTTTAGCTTTCAGCTATGTGTAGGAAGTCCTTGGACCTATGACTACAATTGGGTCATAATTTCCATTGCTAAATAAGGTACCTCATTTTTTTGCCATGGTTGTTAAGTGAATCACAGTCATTAAGCAAATCCGGCTTCCATCATTGGCTTTGCTTGTGGGAAGCCAGCTGGGAAGGTCACAAATAGTGATCCCACGGTCCCAAGATGCTGGACAGCCATAAATACATGCCAATTGCCAAGTGTCCAAATTATTATCACATGGCTATTGAGATGATGCAACAACAAGTGTGAAGACTGGTCATAAGTAACTTTTTTTCAGTGCCACTGTAACATTGAACAGTCCCTAAACAAATGTATTCTTCTGCTGAATTGCAGAAGGTACCCAGGTACTTACAGAAGAAAGAAAAAGGACAAACACGTCTGAAAGGACTACTTGTTTCAGAATTTTTCCAGCATGTTGCAGTAAAGTTATTCTCCCTGGGCTTCTATAGCATTACTAAAAACTAAATACAACTCAGTATCACAACGTTTCTCATTTCAGCATCAGGAGGAATCATGCAAACAATTGTGGCATTCGGTTCCCGGTAAATAAATACATGAATAAAGGGAAGACTTTGGATCATCAAAAGCAAAAAATAAATAAAAATGAACACTTGAGAACCCCCAGAGCAAAAGGTCATCACAGGAAAGATAAAATACAAATATGATTGCTGCTTCTTGCTGCTGATTTCAATTGTTCAGTTTGGGTAGCAGGTGCTGAAACGTACAGCTTTGATGGACAATTCTGATCCTTCACCATGGCATCTTCCATCCTAGGAAAATGGATGCTGCAATCCATCATGTCCCTGACATAAACGATCATAGTTCAATATTCTCTTCTGAGTAGCACTTATCTTTGGCATTACAGAAAGAGTGTCTGATTGTTTTCTTGTCAAACAGGCATGTTTTGCACAGAGACAGGCTGTGAATCGACTCTAATCACATGTAGTCCCATTGACCTGAAGTGGGGATGGGTATACTCATTTATCATAAAAGATGGATCAAAGACAAGCCAGATTGTTCATTGTTTGCATACGTACATGTATATCAAAGCTGAGCTGGTGACACTGATCTGTAATACAGCTTGAGAATAACCTGTTTTGCTTTATTTTGGAGGAGGAGAGCATAAATATAGAGACTTTAGTTACTTTCAGGGGGAATGTTATTCCAGCTATGCCTTTTTATGAACATGATGCATGTGGTTTGTGAAATGACTATTACATTGTGATGCTACATTTGTTAATATTAATTATTATCACTTGATTTCAAATCACGCTTTCTCCCCGTTTTTGACTTAATAGAATTCCAAATAACAACTTATTTTAATTATCTTCTCTTTTTCCTTATGAAAAGGATACTAAGGGCAATATTTTTTCTATGTTGTTTCCCCATCTTTTTTATTTATTTTGTTATGGCATGCCTCGTTAAGATTGCTTTAATTTGTTCTCATTTCAAGAGCCAGCAAAAACTCCTGTATCCCCCCAGCCAGTTTCCATAAAAGTGGCAACACCAGGTAAACAATTCAATTATGTTCTCGTGCTTTGTTTTCAGGATTATTTAATCACCCTTTTGGGCAGCATGTATTTATTTTTATTTTTACTATTATTATTATTTTATTTCATTGGACCAGAGCGCCATCTGTTGGTTCAGATGAATAGGAACTCCTTTTGTTCTGTGAAAATAAAAATAATGTAATGGGTTTTGACTTGCCCTGCCACTTGACAAAACCATACATAATCATTTACAAGCCACAATAATTGGATTCACTCATTGTGTTAAATCAAAACTAAGCACACTACACTGCACTGTGGCTTAGTCATGAGGAGCGAACCTTGCAAATCTCGGAAGGAAACGTTTTCCTCACAGAATATGATCATCATCTAATTGTTGAGGGTGGAATTTCTTGAAACAAGAGCCATGCACAAGTAAGGCTGCTTTGGGAAGGCAAGATCAGTGGATATTCACTGCATTTCTGTCAAATACTTGGCCACATTTGCAAATATAGACCTAGATGAAAGCCTTCCTGCATTATTTGCGGGGGACGGGACAAAAAAACATTTTTACTGGCCTAACAGCAGGTTTGTTCCATTTATAGAAGATCATCCCATATTTAATTAGTTGTTATATGGCTGTCCTTTACCTGTTTTTGTGGAAAACCCAACAACATGGGTTATCCAGTTACACATTTTCTATTATAATAAACATTTGGTATTTCTACTCTGAATACTTAACCATGATAAAATTATTTCTAAAGTTGACTCTGTAGGCATGAATTGGCTTCTGCAAATCAGGATCCTCCTTTAGCCACTTTTTTTTAGAGAAGAGGATGGAGGTGACAGAAAGTAAAAAGAAGATAATATTTTTCTTCAATAATTGTTGGTTTGATTCTGTGCCCCACAACTGTGGCCCCCAAATAGATGACCCCAATTAAATGGAAAATCTTATCCTTTTTTATCTGTATGAAGTGAGTGAAAGGAGGAAACAGATGCTGAAGATACAATATAATTATCAAATCTCACCAGGCTCACGGTTGACTCAGCCTTCCATCCTTCCGAGGTGGATAAAATGAGAACCCAGATTGTTGGGGCAAATATGTTGACTCTGTAAACCAGTTAGAGAGGGCTGTAAAGCACTGTAAAGTGGTAAGTGCTATTGCTATCCTAAGGCAACAGATTATTCAAATAGTCCCACAAGGAAATAATTTTATAAATTGTTCCTCTGATAACAGTGACTCCGGTCGGTCAGATGACTTCAAATATAGTCTTCACAACATATAAATCCTCATTTAGCCATTTTGAATAGTATTATTCCTTTGTAAAGAATATCAACATTAAAATCATTCATGAGAGTGCATTCATTGCTCTGCAGAATGATGACTTCCATTAACAAAAATGACATTATAAAGTAATTGCTAGTTCTTAAAAACAAACCCACTTTTTTTCCAGATATTTTTTAACATCCCAGTTTGCCTAGCTCCCTGAAATATTCAGGCCCAGTTTTGCTTGTTTCCCTGAAAAGTAAGCTACATGCTGCCATCTGCTGAAACAAACTTGTAAATTCATCAGAAAAATATTTTGATTTTTTTTAAAACAATTGTTTGTGTCAATATTGCAACAATTGCTGAAAATGCTTATGGGGCTGAATTATTCTAAAAATAATTTATTGCCTGAAAAAAATATTTTAATAAAACACAGAACTTTTGTTGAAACTATGTAGTAATATATGTGAATGACTGAACAGCTTGAAATATGAAAGGATTAAATGTTTAGGTGAATTCTTGCATGAATTCAAAAATCAGAGTGACCATTAAAAAATCTTGCAGTAGGAGGAAACTTGGATTTAAGTTTGATTGAAATCCATGGGGAAATAAAAATTCTGCACAATAAAATGTTTGCAGTTCAATTGCAGAAATGTTCATTCAGAAGCAATTCCTACAGAGTTAGTGTGGCTGACTTTCACATATTTTTATATTTTATCTTTCACATATTTGTATATTTTATCATTAAAATCCCATTTATTTATTTTCTTTGAAATTGGATAAACATACCCCCCTTCAAAACTGAGTTTCTCAGGATGACTAAAAATATTAAAATCATAGTGTATATTTAAACTAAAATAATTACTATATAAACTATATAAACAATAAAAGTCTAGCTGCACATTGATCAAAATGCTTCTGTGTAGTGTATGTGAATGTATATTTGCAGTATTAACAGGTAAAAAGATATGGGGAAACTATATGTAGTATAGTATATATACCATCATTTTTATTGAAGAAATGCTTAACAAAATAAAACCCACAAAGGAAAATAAAGATAATAAATAAAAATAGTAAATAGTAAAAAAAAGCGGAAAAGGGGGGGGGGGGGGAAGGAAGGAAAGGAAAATAAGTATTATAAAGAAGCAACTTCCAATCTTCTTGACAGTAGCTATAAATAGATTTTAATTCTTTCCACTCTCAAGATTCCACATGCATGTATCAATAGAAATTTTCAGTATGTGTTGACACTATAAACAGTCTGGATGATCTTGGAGCCCCTGGACATTACTATTTATGTGAAAATAACTACAGTCTATTAAATGCCTTTTTATAGTACTTCTAATATAGTTGTTTCTAAAAAAGCAAAAGGCAAGGAGAAAGGATTATGCTGGCGCACCAACTCACGTTTGGATCACTAACATACTTGAAAATTTTAATCTCAAACTTGCTTTCTCAATTCTTACCTCAAAGTACTTTCCTTCTACTATAATTCTACTTATTAGAAGTATCCATGTGCATAAACAAATCAATTGAAACAATCATCTATTGTAATTACAAGTTTCAAACTTTACAACTGCAATACTGAGTATAGTAAAATTGATTCATGCATATTGAGACTTCTGCATGAATCAGGCAGGGGGAGCAAGCTAGCTGCAGGAAGCAATCTGAAAGCTGATGAGAAAACTCCTTAATATAGAAGTAAAGCTGATGAGATTTTGACTTTATGTGTGATTTCATAGTCTTGACAACGAATGTTCTTTAAAGATAACAAAAAATATGTTTATTCTGTCAGTTTCTAGCAAAGCTACTCTAGGGACAATGCTGTGCTTTAGAAAAACTTTTCACATATTACCTTGCTGTTAATTGATAGCAAGCTCTAGGTCTTTTACAAGGAAGGCTTGATACCTCACCACTGTCTCACCACCTGTTTGAGATTTGGGTAGTTGATCTTCTAAATATTTCCCGAGTAGCAGATGGGGAATGTTCTGCCAGCTTCCCTTCCTCCCTGAGCCATCACCAGTATGAGTGATCTCTATTCACCTTCTGTTATGACACACCATTGCCTTTTCAAGTAGCTTCAGAGGATGTTGGATACTCAATTTGTGAACTGGAAATTATATAGATTCCACGGCCCATGCTTCTGTGTCAGGAAATGAGGCAAAACATATCCTATTTAGTCACCAGAGGTTTGTTAAAAGAGAGATGTAGGGCTGTTCGAAACCATTTGCCTCTCCATTCTCCCTCTACTGGAAAAGAGATGGGAGCTTTTTCCTCCATGAATAATGGTGTGAAGAGAAGGTAGTAGAAGTCAGGAAGTAATGTTATATTATATCCAATTATGCTTAGATTACAGGTGTCTATCTCGCTGCCATCACGTGACGTTTCTTGGAGTTTTTCCCATTCGTGGAGCTGGGGAGGGCGTGGCTGCACGTGAGGCATCCAGCCCATGGGCCGCCAGTTTGACATCCCTGGCTTAGATAGTCATTGATGAGTAAATCATGGACAAGATGTTAATTAATGCAGCAACAATTAAATATAATAAAATGCTTAGTGCATTCTATCACATGCAGCCACGTAATATTATTAATATTTATAATGTTAATCCAAACACTTAATCATATGATTACTAATGTAATATTGAATTGAATTCTGAGCTGTGTTGCAATACTAGCAAAACTTCGGTGTGCATTAAGACATTATTTATATGGGCAAATAATATTTTTCTGTCTGTAGTCTGATAGAATAAAATTAAGAATTTCATAGCCTAAGGCCATTTCTTGACAGGGCAGATGCAACATTAAATTGGATTGAGCAACCCACCGATGCCATTTCTAGGGACTTATTGCCAGGATGCCAGATCTTGTTTTCCCAACTACTTACCAATCACTGTTTCTGATCCCATTTCTAACACCAAGTTATTATGAAATGATAATTATGTGCCTAGTGAATAAAGGAAACCAACAGGTAATAGAAAAGTTTAACCTGCAACGATTATTGGATCTATATTAGATATCAATAGTGGGCTTGTTACAGTACTTAGAAACATACATAGCCCCATGTGTCTATTTCTCATTGATTCAACGCATGATTTTGCCATATATGGATAAACTGTAGAAAGTTTATAATGGTACTTTGCTCCCTACATGGTCTTTTGAAATGGGAGTCATTTCTCCCATTTTAGAATATTCAGACATGCATATTAATTTAATAATAATTGGTTGTTGTGAGCTGCCCACAGTTGCTTAAAATGGGTGACAATATACATCTTTTAAATAAGCAAATAAACACTAATTTATTAGCTTTCTTTTCTTGCACATGACTTGTCTGTATAGATCTAATGGAGAAGGACCTTTATATCTCTCTATAGATGATTTGCCTCTATGGCAATAGGTTTTTAGTTTATTTTAATTTTAATTTTTCCTGGGGGGAGGGGAAGAGGTTCTTGTAAGCAAGTGAGTGGGTTCAGGGATGGGATCCAACTAGTATAACTACCGGTTCTGTTGCTCTGCATCGCATGCGTGTGCAAGCCATGCGAGTGCAATTTACGACCTGCTGAGCTGCCTGGACAGCTGAGCAGTGCTGCGTGCAAGTGCACAGCAGTTGGAAAAGCCCTTTTTTCCTGCTTTTTCAACCGCAGTTGTGTTGCGCAAAGCAGCTGCGGTTGAAAAAGCAAGAAATAAAGGTCAGGTTTTGGCCCACCCGCCCGGACCGGCGGGTGGGCCAAAACAGCAGCAGACATAGAACCGGTTCTATATATGCTCTCTGTCTGCTGCTCTTCAGAACTACCGGTTCTACAGAGGTGGACAGAACTGGTAGAATCCCACCCTTGAGTGGGTTGGACAAGAAATTTCTTGTTTGCTGGCAGACAAACAATAGTTAGCTGTCATTGCTGCAAAGCTAAGTTCTGATTCATCCTTGGTCCTCTATGAGCACTGCAAACTTACCAAAAAGCAAAACATATCCTTATTTCTTCTCTCTTGTAATAAAACAAACTAACTTCCCTTTCAAACTCTTAATTGAGCTTACTGTCTACAAGTGACCTCAGTCTATCATTTCACTTTCTGCTCAGTGTAGAAATACTACACTGCTTGCTAAAAACTCTCAAGGGCAGGAACAATGTCCTTGTTTTTTTCTGACTTTCCAGAACCATACAAGAAAGAAGAGCTGATAGAAGTAGGAAACTACACCCCATTTTCTCACCTCTGCCTTCTCAGAAACATATTGATATAGAATGCTATTAAAAATTATCATAATTCTTTTTTTCTTTTATATTAGCAGACAGGCCAAAGAAGGCTGCACATGTGAAAGAATATGGTAAGACCTGGGTATCTTTTTCCCCCCAAATTACACTTTCTATTTTGAATACCTTGTATTAATTACATGAAAAATAGACTACATCTTGTTCCTGTGAGTTACTTAGGACTAATCCCTACAGCCCCCTATCTGCTACCCCCAAATCATCCATATTATGGTCTTCACTGAATAATTCTTGCTATCTCTTCAATCCATTCACTGAGTCTGGATGGACCATGTCTGCACATATAATTATATTTTTCTTATTGTAATTATCTCCAGCACGAAAGGCATTTAAAGGACACACTAACAAGTTTATCTAACGGGCTTATTATATTCCGTATAGAATTCCATGCTTCTACCAAACTTTGCCCATTTAAATGTTTATCCTCCTTTGTGTCTCATAATGTATGTGAAGTCTATTAACAGTATTAACATTCTATTAATCAAGAAATTTATTCATTTTGTTACCCATGACAAGCAACTCTCTTTCTGATTTAATATAAATTTTGAAGAACAAAACCACAATTTACATAGATACATGCTCATGGCAATAAGAATAAATTTTGCACAGAATTGGAAGAAATAAACAATTCTAATGAGATCTGATTGGCGACTTAAATTTGGAGAATATGCAGCAATAACAAAAATAAGCAGCATATATACAATAGGAATAAAATAAAAGCCACTTAATCCCTGCTTTGTTTTAATTATGAAATCACAAGACTAATTAACTGTGATCTTGGTTTCTCATTTCACTAATGATATGTACTGTAATATATGAAATAAGCACACCCTTATAGACTCTGATGGAGAAATCATGTTGTGTTCTTCTTCTTACATCCCAGAAACACATAAAAAAGAAAAGCCAATAGAAATAGGTTAGTATGTTAATATTTTCTTTCTTTTACAACTGCAAAACATGATATTGGACATGGATATGGGTTATACAAGTTCAAATTGTGGAATAACTGAAATCCTTATATCTTCTTCTTTTAGCCAAAGTGCCAAAGAAACATGTGCATATAAAGAAATCTGGTAAGACTGGGGTAAAAATGTATCTCAGAAATGGTACTGTTCCCTTTCAACACTTAGTGTAAATTAATAGACGACTATGGAAATGGATGTTCCATATTCTAAATGACTACCCAGTGAAATAAAGCCCAAAATGTGCATAATAAATGACCAGGCCTCATCCACATAGCCCTATAGCTTTGCCTCCAACATGGCTTGCTTGTCTTTTCTTGAGATATCCTCAAATTGGATCTTGGTATTGAATCCCAATTTCTGGAAGAAGGGGTAGAAACTGCTCAGTCTTATTCTCAAGTGAGAAGACATATAAGCCTTAAGAAGAAAAGCACAAAAACAAATAAAGTGCATTCTGCCAACTGAATCCAGAATTTAAGTATTAAATTATATACTCTTTATTTTGAACATTTAAATGCAAAAATCATTTTCTGGTCATATAAACTTTAAGTTATTTTTTTAATCAACAAAAATGAATATATGAGTTATCTAGTGAGAGGAGTCTCCTGAATTCTATCTAAATTTTAATTGAGGATTTAAAACATTCTGTCTCTAAGTGCCCTCAATTTATTACTTCCTTCTTTGTTAAATATGGAATCATTCACTGTTTATTTTGAATACCTGAATGCAGAAATCAAGTTCAAACCTTCTTCTTATTTTCTAGAACCAGATAAGAAAGAAAAGTCAATAGAAATAGGTAAGCATGCTCTTATTTTCTACATTTACTTTACCTAAAAGTTGTGTTAAGGCTAAATATTCAACATATGTGATAATAATATATTTAAATCTTTTCATTTCAGCCAAGCTGCCAAAGAAGGCTGTGTATGCAAACAAAACTGGTAAGGCTAAGGGGAAAAAAATCTGGGACATTCAACTTTCTACCTTGAAAATTAATCAAAGACTACAGAAATGAGTGTTCCATAAGAGAACTATTGAACTAAAATATCAAACATTGATAGGAGATGATTCAATCTTTTGTCAACCATACTAAATTGACTTAATGGGGAAATCCTATATTAAAAATCTGGGAGGAAATGTTGATATGGATGAAAGTGGGAATATTGACTTCGGATCAATTGACTTCGGATGACAAATTTTAACAAATGATATACGAAGAGGCAAATATCATTTATTAGATGTTACCCAGTGGCAATATTTACAGTTACAATAATTGTTAACAGCATTGTTTGAACCAGCAGCATTTTCACTTTCTGAGACACGAGAACAACTAGCTAAATCTTTTAAAACAAAGAAACCAACAATTCATTTCAACAGATATTATCAATAAATCAATTCAATATGCAAAAGGTAAACGATTAGTGGAATAAAGAATTAGAGGTTCCTGTATTGCCTAGATAATGAGACTGTGTCTTAACATCTATACCAAGAATATCAATAGATCTCAATTTCTGACTTATAAAACCAAAAATAATATTTAGAATTTATTGGGCTCCTTTGTGTTTGTATAGAAAAGAATTCTGTAGGATGGCATTTTATTGGGATTCAGTAATGGCAATGCTTCTTTAAAAGCATTAAATTTTGAGACAAAATAATGGAGTACATAAATATTGACTGTACAACAAAAGCTGAGATTTTTTGAGGATAATATTTTCTTATACATGGAATTTCACAACTGAACAATATGGATTCTCTGTGCCCTTATTGTAGCTAAAAACTGGTATTGCAAAATTGAAAAAATAAATGTGTGGTTTTACTGGATTGAAGATCTGTTTATAGTTGCTACCTTTGAGTGGATTGCCTATAGAATGGATAAATATAAGAAAATATGTGTGGATACTATATAAGAAAATATGAGATTCATTTATACAAAGTACTATAGTTTAAAAAAAGAATGAAAGTCATATAAATGTATTAGAAATATACATATACCTGAATAATGTTTGTATTAGATTATATATAGAACTGTATCTGTTTCTTGTTCTAACAACATATTATACTCTGTATCCTATTTTTTCTGTTGTACTTTTTCACTTATTTTTAAGCACTTCTTATGCATTGTTTTGATAATGTATGTATCCTTTTGTTCTTTTGCTTTTCTCTGTTATTGTTTTAAAAGCAATAAAATTATTTTTAAAATGTAGATAGGAGACCGCATTCTGTCCAATGTGATTAATTGGGAAATTTAAAAAAATCTATATTTAAGTGTCCTCACTCTATCACTTTTTCTGTTAAGAATGGAATCATCCATTGATTATTTTGAACACATAAATGCCAAAATCATTTTCAAATCTTCCTCTTACTTTCTAGAAGCAGACAAGAAAGAAAAGCCAATAGATATAGGTAGGTATGGTCTAATTTCCCCACTTCTGTTAATTGAAAGATGGGATACAAATATTAATTATCCATGTTCAATATTTATAATAATCAATATTCTTAAATCTTTTCCTTTTAGCCAAACTGTTAAAGAAGGCTATGCATGCAAGCAAAACTGGTAAGTCCTAAGTAAAAATAATTCTAGAAAATTCCATTTTCCACTTTGAACATTAATAAAAGGCTAGAGAAGTGACTAATTGCTAAAAAATAAATAAAACACCAAATGTTTTGATTCCCTTCATTGCCCTCCCCCATGGGAAGAGATGGCCTATTCTATTGGCACTCCCCAGATGACTGATGAATTGTGTGGAGTTCTGGAGGAGCTTATGGTTTACACTGTGAATCTGGTGGATAGTTTAGGTGAGGTCTCAGTTGTTGCGAGGCATAGGCTTTTGACCACAACATCCCTAGGTGGCCTGTCTCTGTTTATCAATACCAGGCACACTTTAGATTATTGAGAAACCCCAGGAGATGGTACACAAAAGAAATGCAAGCCTGATTAATATGGGGTATTGCCGGTATTGCCTTGTAGTGATAAGGGCAGCAAAATATACATTTTATGAATGTTGATAGCCGTCCAGTGGTTCTACTTACGGTGACCCAACCTCTCCTAGATTCCCTCAAGGATGGCCACTGGATCATCTGAACTGTTTGTTATGGGGAATATTCTAGATATCTGAGAGATAATATTGCTCTGATTGACATTGAGTTGGATTCTGGCTGGGTGGGTCTGATCTGATCTGGGTGCCTAGTGTACAATCTATGATCTGGGTGAGTCCTGAGGAATAGATAGGTTGCTTTGGCTATTTGTCTGTTGAAGCCTCCTGAATTAGGTCTTTGCCACTGTACTGGACTCTTTGAGGTAGTGCCTAGAGCCCAGAAGGTGGTGGTGGTATTCCCTCTCTTCAAGACCCAACAATTTTATATAACTACTGATCTGTCTCTAATCTTCCCCTTTCGGGAAGGTTGCTGAGAAGGTGATCAGACTGCAATTAACAGAATAACAGAGTTGGAAGGCACCTTGTAGGCCATCTAGTCCAACGCCCTGCCCAAACAGGAGATCCTACACCATTTCTGACAGACGGCAGTCCAGTCTCTTCTGAGAACCCTCTAGGAACTGGATTATCTAGACATATTTCATCTGGGTTTCATGTCAGGATTCAATACAGAGACAATCTCAGTAATCTGACTTTTGTGGGTGACACAAAATTGCCAAGAAAAAAAAAGCCCACAGTGAATAAATCATAAAGTGCCTTCTGCCAAGGGTGAGTTATCTAGTAAGAACAGTCCCTTCAATCCTAACTTAGTTTTATTAGTCAAATTAAAAGACTGTCTTAAAATGACATCAATCTATCATTTAATTCTGTAAGAGAGGACCAGGCTGAGCATGAGAGAGGGGTCAAATATGTCACCAGTCTCAAGTCCCTTCACACCCACAAGATATCTAAATCCAGCCCACCTTGAATTCTGTTGGCTCTTATCTACTGCCGATTTACTTTGACCATTAGTAGTTCAGATTTTTGTAGAGAGTGTTAGATGCAATAACATGTAGACATTTGCACCACCTGGCTTCCTGATTTCTTGCACCTGATGATTCTATGTAAAGTAGGCAATCATCCACTGTTTTTAGAAGCACCCAAATACAGAAATAATGTTCTCTTCTTTTTTTATTGTCTAGAATCCCCCAAGAAAAAAAGGCCATTAGAAACAGGTAAACATGAATTACTATCCCACCCTTGCTTATGTCAAACATATTAATATAGCACAGTTGTGCAACATTACTTCAAATTCAGTACTTTTAACTTTAATTAATCATTTGGATTCCATCTATGTTATAATCCAAATGTTTGAATCTTTTCCTTTTAGCCAAAGTGCCAAAGAAAGATGTGCATATAAACAAAACTGGTAAGTCCTATGTAAAAATATATCTAGAAAATTACATCTTTCCATTTGAAAAATTGTTATAAGTTAACACATCTCTATGAAGATGAGAGAAATAAAGTTCGGCTCTTTCCCTTATTGTCTAGAACTCCACAAGAAAGAAAAGCCATTAGAAACAGGTAAACATGAATTACTGCCCCATCTTTCTTTATGCGAAACATATATAATATAGTACAACTGTGCAACATTTATTAAACCTCAGTACTTTTAATTTTAATTTTAGCCAAGCTACTAATGAAGGATATCCATGTAAAACTATCTGGTAATATCTGAATCAAAACAAATCTAGCAATTTACACTTCAGTTAACATAAAATTATGATTATGATTGCCTTGAAAAAGATACCAGACCAAAAAAAAATCAAATAATGATGAACAATAGAATGCCTTTTGCCCACTCTTGGTTTCCTAGGGCTTATCTCTTTCCCTGCCACCTAGATCATTTGCTTACTGCTTGTTGAAGATATATCTTTGTATGAGATCCTCTTTCTTAGGGCGGGCTTGCAGGACAGGGTGGTTAAAGCTACTCCAGCTTATCAAAATAGAAAATGGTATTTTCTATGAGAGAGCAGACACAGACTTCCACCATGTCTATTCTGTGTTGCCTGGAGAAGGAATCTTTAGTGTGGCCAGCATTGTGGGCTCTAAATATATAGAAGGACCATATGAATTGGTTATAAATGCCCTTCACAATTAATTTAATTTTAACAATCAGATATATTGGCACTTTCACGCTTAAAGTTTATCCTTTCTTTTTAGGGAATGTTAGTCTACCCAATACCAAAAACCAAAACTGAGTGTTAGAATGCAAGAATAGAATAGAGCTGGAAGGGATTTTGGAGGTCTTCTAAACCAGCCCCCTGGTCAGGCAGGAGACCCTATAATGTTTTCTAAGTACAGTGCTCCCATCAGTAATCACTAGCCCTTAAATAGAATCTTGTGACACTGATTTCTCCCCTCCTCTTTCTAGTCTTTTAGAGGGAGGGGCTTTTTAGTATGAACACCCAAATGTTGATATCATATTCTGGTTTTCCTCTTATTTTTTAGAACCCTACAAGACAGAAAAGCCAAGAGAAATGGGTAAGAGCTCTCATATTTTGTAAGATCCTCTGGAACATATGGGCATTAAAGGGATATTGATCGTTTGGATTCCATCTATGTCATAGTCCAAATGTTTGAATCTTTTCCTTTTAGCCAAAGTGCCAAAGCAAGATGTGCATGTAAACAAAACTGGTAAGTGCCATTTAGAAATAAATCTAGAAAATTACATATTTCCATTTGAAAGATTGTTATAAGTTAATATAACTCTATGAAGATGAGAGAAATAATGTTCTGGTCTTTCTCTTATTGTCTAGAACCCCACAGGAAAGAAAAGCCATTAGAAACAGGTAAACATGAAT